CCAAGGCTGCTGCTTTGATCCTCCTCTCCCCTAACAACAAGCTCACTGCGGCAGAAACATGCAGGGTGGGGATTTCTAGTTTCGCTCTTGCTGACACAAATCAAGTGCAGGTTTCTCAAGCTGTGAAGTATATTAAGTTCACAGAGTTTTAACAAAGGGCTACCAAACCGCAGAACCCCGCTGCGAGTCACACTTCTTTCAGATGTCCTTTTAATTATATTAAACGAAAGTTTGGGGCACTTTGATGCTGATAGGCAAACATCTCGATCTCTTGAAAAAGCTGCTAAAAGTACTCCCTGTAGCTATAGTTAATATACGACATTGTATGCACACTGCTAGCCAATTTATTCCAGCCACTTTAACGATACCTCGCCTGACACGGCACGCAGAATAGCATCAGGAGTCCAGCAATGCACAAATCATTAGAGGACTCTGAAAGTTGTTTGACACGCACCGCGGAGCTCTTTGTCATACAGCCAATTAAGTGACCAAACAAGGAACTCGAAAATCCTCATTAATTTGCCCCTTTCTATATAAATGGAGGTCAGAGTCTTTCTTGTCACAGGCACAACAAGAACACAAGTAAATGCAGCATAATTCAATTTACGCTCCCACTCAGAGCCACAAGTTTCTTTCGTTTAGTCTTCACGGAAGTTGGGACCAGCCATGCAAGCAAGCAAGAAGTAGGACAAACAGAATTAATCCACTTTAAATAGTACTGGCTAAGTCCCAGATGCACCTTTTATCTGCTGAGAGCTACTAGGTTAGCAAACAAAAAAAAAGTCTCTTCTACTCAGCTCTAAACTTAATGCCTTGAATCCTCTGAGGAAAGCCTTTCATTTTTTGCTTAGTACAGCAATTCAAACACCCCACATTACAAGCGTGAAGCATTCAGAAAAATTCCAGGAGAACCAGAAGGACAACTCTGACTGCAACCGCCCACCACTGTCTGCTACCTGGAACCTGCCAGCAGCTCAGCACCGGCTTCATCGGTGGCTCCGATGACACCTGCACCCAGAAGCTCTTGTGATCTTCACGGAGTGGGTGGCACCTTCATAATCTTCGCCATTTGCTGTACAGACAAACCCAGAATTACAAAGCAGGGCAAGCTGATTTACAGGACAGCCCACAGGATGGCAGGAACCAGAGCAGCAAACACCATGAGACCAGGAAAATGCTGCAAAAGCAACGCTCTGCTGCCTCCTTCCACCTTTCCCACAAAGCTGCCACTCAGGCTATCTATTGTATTCACCAGCCTCCAGCTTTGAAGCCACCGACACTGGCTTTAAAAAATAAAAACCCAAAAAGAATAGGAACCCTGTGAAGTTTTTGTCTTCCCAGATCTGCATCCCAAACGCAGCATGCAATTTCACATGGGAAGAGGCTGCCGGCTGGCACCGCAGGGAAAGACATTGGCGTCATGATGCCCCAGAGCTCCAGCCCACAAATCCAAGCGAAACAAGGAGGTGAGGTCAGATTTTGCCATCAGGTGCATATATGTGATAAAAAGACTCTACATGCCTGGATGTGGTATGAGCCTTTATTAAAGCTTGTGTTTCCAGCTACTAAATATTACAGCATAATTCTCTAATTTTATTCCCCATGTTTAAGTTTTCCCTGTTAATATGGCCTCACTTATTGCAATATCTGAGTACTCAGCCTTTTTTTTTTTTCTTTACTACCCCACCTCTGTTCCCAGAGGCCAGGGGAATTGTACCCATGGCATTTTAAGTTGGGGAGCTGAGAAACAGTGAGCACATGCCATTTGTGGAAGGGCATGGAAGAAATCTGTGACACCAAACCCAGTTTCACAGCCCCCAAAAGACAAATGTTTCATGTTTTCTACAACTCCAGTGCTTCAGTTTAAGGAGAAACGCCTTTGGAAAATGAAGAATTATCAATTCTGAAAAAATTACAGAAAATTCATACTGGCTTACGTCACATACCGGTCACCAAATGAAGCTATGCTAATCAAATGTGTCACCCGTTGTGACTCATTCTCCCACACATAACTTTTCCATCCCTTTCCCAAAATAGAGTGCAAGAACAGTGCACTGCAGAAAGGTGGGCATGAGAGATGTAGATCTCTGCTCTCCAAAAAGCCATCCATTGGGTCCAAGCTCTCCTTAGCTAATGGAGCACCTCTCCAAGGCCACTCACTCTGTCCATCTTGGATATCCACCTTGGTCAGCTCAGCCTAAGTTGACTCTTAGTATCACAAAGTAAAGCCCGTGTGGCAGTTTCTTAAATATCACCGTGACTGAAAAATCTCCCAGCAATTTATCTAGTCATTATATTAGTATGTATTTATCACGACACCTATCGGGTTGGTTCTTGTTGGATTTTTGAGACAAAAAAGATCATTTACCACACTTGCAACTAAAGGAGCAGCACTTGTAACCTCTATCTCTAGTAAACAAAATCCCTGAGCTTTTAATGCAACAAATATTGTGACACTGCACAAATTAAATCAATATTTGTTTTAATTATAAAGTTACCCAGAGAGATGAGATGATAATCTGATACGGCATTCCCAGTCTCATATTTGAATAACTCACAAAATTTCCAGATTTGTTTTACATATTTATTTATATTCATTTATTTTGGGCTCAAGAGGACTTTACACCCCAATCGCTACAGGGGCTCTGTCATGACTACTTAAATTTGTCAGCCCAAAGAAAACAGTAAGACTGATTTTAGCAATTATTATCTTCTCAAGTCACCCTCCTCCTCCCCAAAATCCACCTTTTCTCAATTGCACTTTTGATATTTACAATTGCTGGACATCTCTCACATAAACTTTGTACTGCACTTTCCTTTGTCTAGGGAGCACAGGATTGAAGGTACACTTCCAGCCCTGTAAGTCGAATTCAGCCATGGATGCTATTCACAATAATGGGATCAGCACACGGAGATCATGTCAGCAAGGTTGAAAACTTTATTTCTCTGCCATCAGTGGCATATTTCCCAGTGACTTCCCACCTCCCATTGACTTCAGAAAGTCCGTGATTTCACCATTTAAGATTTGTTGAAAAATCTCTGCTAAATTGCCTTAGCCAGCCCAGACATTTCACTGCCTGGTAAAGGATAAGTGCCCTGTAACAGGAATATCTGCAGCCACATTTAATTGCTATTACAGACAAACTCTCCCACACATGATTTTTTGATGACTAGCTACTTGATTTTCCAAATGGAAACATACTATATGAAAATATGTCCAGATACATTATTTCACCTCCATATAATACAAAGCAGAGCTGAAAAGGTTCAATTAGGTCATCTAATTCATTCTTCAAGCCCTCTATTACAGGACTGTCCTCTTCAATACATTTACCAGCTTTGTCCATATTTATACTAAACAGCTCAGGCAATGAGCTTTCATCAGTTTTTGCCTACTAAAGAGGTAGGCGCATGATTAATGTTTAAACACACAAGTAATCTTTCCAAGTGAAAGGGAAGAAGTCCTTGAAATTAAGGGTAAGATGAAGTTTGTGCGGAATATTCAGGCTTTATTCTATCAATACCAAGCTTTCTGTAGAGTATATTAAACTCCCTATTCACTACTGTTCGAAAGAAGACAGAAAGACCAGGAGCATGCATCGACTGTAGAGTACACCTGTGCAGCTAGTGAAAAGTACAACTATGGGTCAGGTAGCACCCAAGGTCCCCAACAGGACTGTGTGGTCCATGGTCAAACCAGACTCACCAGGTTTCCAGTGGTACCAGTAGACAAAATAGCTAGCTTGGGAGTGAGCGTTGCACTGTAAACTTTCCTAAATTCCTTCAAATGCTAGTTACTTTCTCTGGGATCTTAAGAGAAGTCACTCCAGACAATGGATGTGTAACTCCATAACTCATCTTTATCCATTAATGTATAAGGAAGGGAAAAGGTGACTTTCTCTCATGACCATATCCAAAGCGAAAACAGACAGCCTACCAGCCCAGAGGGGTAATGTTTTATTTTTAATGTCCTAGAAATCTAAACCATCTAATCCCACATGCTAAATGAAATATAAGCTCACAAAATAAAGTCAATACCGACTGCAGGAAGTTGAATTTTGCAGGAAAATTCAGGCATAGACAGCCCCTTCCAGAAACATGGGGTTCATTTTTACACCTCTGTATGTTACACATGCACATATAAACAATGATCAACCACCCATAAGTACAACATCAGTGTTCATAAGCACAAGACAGAAATTAGAAGGTAAAACATTCACATTTCTTAAAGCAGCATTAACTCACCCATTGTATACAAACAGGTTTATATAAAAGTCACTAGAGCAAATGCTATAAGGCAAGGTGACAGGATAAATACCATAACCCGAGGCTCCACTCTTGAAAAGCCTACAAGTGGGTCTTTCCAAAATGCTGGGGCTTGACTTTGTTCATGTAAAACACAATGTAAGCCTACAAAATTCAGGCCACAGCTGGGTGAACTTTATTACGTTATGTTCCTAATCCTATATTTAGTTTGCAGCACTCTCCTCCTTCCTACATCCCTCTGTGAGGACACTCTGCATTTCATTACAATCTTACCTCCTCCCTTATGCCAATTGTTGCCATTTCAAATTGTTTCTAAATTTGCAAGTATAAGAGGGGAAGAAAGAAAACTAAGGAAATGCAGGCGGCAATTATATGAGTGACATGCCGCAAGCGAAACCCAGCTGGTCTGGAGACACCTCCGTGAGGAGGAATTCTGCATTCTATACTTGCACGCATCCATACTGTCCTGCTTATTCCAATGGCCGGATGAGTCTTGTCAGATCTCTCCTGTGGTTTTTCCCTTTCTGGTTCAGAGATTTTGGCCCAAATTTTTGTGAAGTCTGAGAGCAACTGAGCAGGTGGGGGGAGATGAAGAATGAAATTATCCTGTAACCTTAACCTTAGAACTTGCTGCCACAAAGATGGTAATAATCAGATTATTCACAGAGACAAGACCCACTTCACAGTCATTCAGTCAACCAACTGGACACGTGTATTAAAAACACAAGAAATACCTGGACATAGGCCCTGCAAGAGCGCTCCCTTTTCTGAAGCTGAGTCCATAAAGACAGCAGATTAAAGACGGAATAGAAAAAACAAGTTAGTGACAGAACAAGGGAAAAAAAATTGAAGAAAACGCCCATGAAAAAAACCTTATTTCTCTCTTAAACAGCTCCTGAAAACCAACCAAACCAGAAGAAGCATGCGAGTTAGGCAGCAGTGGAAGGCTGGAAGGACTGGCTCTAGAAATATGGGTTAATCCTTTTTCAGTGAAGTAAAGCACAGACCAGCAACTTTGCAAGAGCAGCTGTTAGATGGTAGGAGACACTGAAGTCAAGTAGAGATGCTCAAGAGATCATGTTTTCCTTAGAGCTTGGAGATCACACATGATATTTCCACATCGAACAAGGCTGGAAAGGATAGGGCTGATGGTTATTTACATAAAAGGAGTGTGGGCTCTGCAGTCAGACAGCACTGATGGCACAGTGAGGTATAATCAAGCTTTGGACGAGCAGGACCAATTCCAGGGAGCAAGATGTATGCAGGACTGCATCGTGATACAGGATGGACCTGTACGGACCCATCCTGATACACCTGCTCAGGTCTCTGGCTCAAGGCAAAACCTATAGTGCTCCAGCTTCACTGCTGCGAGCTTGCTTAAAGCCAGCTCAGGCACATGTCGAGTGTGATAACACATTGCACTGAAGGAGAGAGCATTGCCCAGGGCTCCTGATAGCGTAAAGGGCCACTGAAGAGCACATAACAATGAAAAGGGAATCAGATGTAGTATTTCCAATTGAGGCCATCCTCTCCCTTTGGATTAAACTGCTTCTCCAGGAATGCATTTTCCAGTCCTCTCATACGGAGTTGTGCTTTCTTTTGTAATTCCTGGGCCTAAATGCTTTATGTGCTGAACAGCTTTTCCACAAAGAACCCCACCTTTTCCAGGAGCCATGTTTGGGACTGTACTGTGATATGCACTTGCATGCCTCCTGCCTGATAACTGCACTTTAGTGTGTCATGAAATTCAAACGGGCACTTATTTACCTCCCCAGGACCTTGCAGGCAGTCTGCAGCAGTGAGCTAGAATTGGTGAGCTCTGCATTGGTGCAGCTAAGCCTCGCAAAATCAGGCTGCTCAGAGCCACTGGCTTGGCTGGGTTTGTTTTTGCTGATGTGCCTGGGTTGGAAATTGCACATCAATAGAGATTCGGGGTAACTTGCGCTCTCAACTCACAGCAGTGCAATCCCATTAGCACAGATGAGAGCCAAATTTGTCCCCGAGAGTTCTGAGGCTCTGAAATAAACAAAATACACCCAGGTATCATGCAATGCCTAATTTCAATTTCTAATTCATCAATTTGTAACAGTAGAAATCTTCCTCTGGGTAAACTTGGCCAGTACGAAGACTTTACAGAAACAAATGGAGATCAAAGAAAGCCTTGCTAAAAATTACAGAGCTATCCACTTGGGGGTCTTGCCAGTCTGCAATAGAACAATTATTACCTTAATTAAGCCTGATCCACTGGAAAGCATAAAGCTTTTAGTGACAGGAAAGTGGCTCCTGAAAGATGATAGCTTTTAAAAATTCTGATTATGCCAGTTTATTTCAATTCATTGTACATCAGCTTGTAAAAAAACAGTACAAAACAGCACAGGTGATTACTTTCAGATCCCCAGCACGTTTCCTTTAATGATTAAAGGAATATTTAATGGCTAGCGCTTACTTTATTTCTTTTTTCTGACAAAACAGCACTAAACAAAACTCTTTGCAAATGACTTTTTTCCTTTTTTTTTTTGGAAATACTCTTGATCAGTGAAGGGGAAAATGGAGCAGTAACTCTGCTGCCTTTTGTTTGCCCAATACTACTTCCAAGTTGAATTCATGCATTCTTAAATGAACACAGAGCAGTTGCTCTTCTAAAGAATTAAGTGGGGAATGAGAGCAAGTAAATTACCGAGCATGTCATTTGGATCACTGACTCGCATCGCTGTTTTGCAGGACTCCACACGGTCCAGAATTTTAATGCGGAGTGCAATTGATTTGTATGAGCTGCTTGTGCAAAGCTGATGGCAGGGGGGGAAAACCTGCAAGGGGGACCCCAGGAGTGACAGCCGAGCCGAGGAGCTCTGCCTTGCCCAGTCTTCCCCTTCCCTTGGTAACTCACACCTGCCCCCATGATACAACCCCATTTCATGTAATCGAAACAAATATCAGAAGGTGGGATATAAAAAGATGAAAAATATGTGCTTGCAAAGCTGAAGTGACAAAATGTTGGATGTGACTAGGGCATATTCAGAAGAGCAAGCAGACTATAACCTTGAAACCCGTTAGTAGGTGACATTAATTGCTGGTTTTACCTGATATTGTCAGACATCACCATCATTTCAAACAAAGAACCATGGTATGATTATAACAAATAATGTTATGCTGATGTAACAGTTAATACAACTATTACCTAGATTGTTATAAAATAGCTGGAAGCACTAATTAAAAGCATCAGGATAACCCAATTCACAGCACATGCAAAGCACATGAGATGCAGGACTTCAATTCCCATGCAGCTGTAATCTTAAACAATCCAGAAGCCCTTTGCATTTAAAACAGTGTAAGTCTACAATAATAACTTACAAGAAAAAACACAATGTTACTTCTCTGAAAAGTATTTCTCTTCAGAAGACACACAAGAAATTTCAGGCTTAGCTAGGATCATTTATTCCCCGAAAAACCTTGGGTCCAAGTTCTGTTCTCACTTACATGGATGCCAGGGCTGTCAGAGCCAGCTACGCAGCTGAGAACAAAATTCTGTGTCTTATTTTAACTGGGTGGCCAATACAACCATGTGCTCATAGCCACAGGGTTCAGCTGTTCTTTGTTCTGATGACCAGGCCCGCATAATTCACCGTCTGAATCCAATATAAGTCCTATCCCATGTGTTTACATACGAGTCAGTGATGAAGAGGGCCTTGGACCAAGGAAGCCCTCAACTTGAAACGTATTCTCACAGACTCCACAGCCTTTATTTCCTCCCATAACTGGCAACTTCTAGCATCTTTAGTATGTAGCAATTCCACTTAATTCTGGAAATTACAAAAGGACTAATAATTCTTCTCAAACAGGAGTCACAGAAACCACACTGTCATCATGCAGTAAGGTGCTTCTGCGCTAAGTCACAGGTCATCACTAAAAAGGCCCTCTAATACTAAACCATCCTGAAGACCTTAAGTGTAAATACGATGGTATCTTATGTGCCTTTGGTAAATGTATCTCCAGTGTAAATAAATGTTTCTGTCTGCTTGTATTTGTTTATATTCATGCATAAAAGTGTTCATTTGACCTTCACATCAGCACCTTGTAATGGTACAAATGAAAAAATCAAAATCCAGACTCTGTCTCTTGGGGCTTTAAATATTGAGATTTTCTGGATCATATTACATGGCATTTCACAGACAGATTCAGCACTGGAAACGCTGGACAAAATTCTGGTCTCATTCACACTGGCACAAGTCCAAAATAATTGCTTTGGCATTACTTGAGTTATTCTCACACTGAGCTATAAGAGCTGAGACCACAATGAAGTACCTGGAGTTCATATATCTACACATCTAAGGGTATACATTTCCCAGCACCAATAGTACACTTGGCATTTACAACTGTTTCGTTTCTCAGCAGAATAAAATACACTGTAAACGAAAAACTGCCAGGTACTCTTGTCTACTACGAAAGAATCACTGCCCTATAATGGCAGTCGTTCAGAAAGACATTTATAATAGCTCTCCATGGAGAGCCAAATCCTTCTTCAGCCTCCTGTCCCTTCCCGAGCCCCTTTGTTTTTACCTTATTTAAGCTGCGTGCAGCACTGTCCTTCCCGCCCGGAGTCAGGTTTCGGAGCTGCACATCAAGCAAGTTCACCAGCTGGACCATGGCGGACACAGAGTACGTGATGTCACCAGCGTACAAGTGGTTTTTTGTGTGCTCCGCAAGCTCCCGGGCAATGTTGGCAGCCATCTCCCCTGACTTCATCTGCAATTGAGAAAGCAGAGGAAAAGGTTGCCCCTGGCTGTTAGTATGATGTTACTCCAGTCCCTTCCAGCCCCACAGTGTTAAGCGAGTGCCCGCAAGAAGAAAAAGAAAAAGAGGAGAGAAGAAGAAGAGGAGAAGAAAAGAATAGAGGAAGAGAAGAAGTTGCCAAGAAGGAAAACTACGGCAAAGGGTCTTCATGGTTTGATCACGTACAGAGTTTGAGTATGGTCTAAATGCAAGTGTTTTTTCCAGTAACCATGCTGGCTTCAACACAACAATTTCTGATCTTCTCACAGGGCACTGCTGGAATTGAGGGGCAGCTGCTTCTTTGCACTGCAGCAGATGCAACCAAAGATGGCATTGCTTTCCATGGGATGCCCATGCTAGGGAGGGCTTCAGTTAACTTGTACCATTGCCTTATCTATGCCACTTGAAAAAAAAAGAAACCACGTAAATAGTCTCTCCTGTCAAGAATGAACAGTTTCTGATTCCAGAAGATTATTTGATAGCGAAGAGATGATTTTTGTTACAACTCCTGTGCAAAAAAGTTCTTTGTAAAAGGAACAAAAATAGATGACTGTCCTGGTTTCGCCTGGCATAGAGTTAATTTTCTCCCCAGTAGCTGGTATAGTGCTGTGTTTTGGATTTAGTACGACAATAATGTTGATAGCACACTGATGTTTTAGTTGTTGCTAAGTAGTGTTTACCCTAGTCAAGGACTTTTCAGCTTCCCATGCTCGGCCAGGTGCACAAGAAGCTGGGAGGGAGCATAGTCAGGACAGCTAACCCAACTGACCAATGGGCTATTCCATACCATATGACGTCATGCTCAGCCTATAAAGCTGGGGGAAGTAGAAGGAAGGAGGACGTTCGGAGTGATGGTGTTTGTCTTCCCAAGTAACCGTTACGCGTGATGGAGCCCTGCTTTCCTGGAGATGGCTGAACCCCTGTCTGCTGATGGGAAGTAGTGAATGAATTCCTTGTTTTGTTTTGCTTGCGTGCACGGCTTTCACTTTACCTATTAAACTGTCTTGATCTTAACCCACGAGTTTTCTCACTTTTACCCTTCTGATTCTCTCCCCCATCCCATCGGGGGAGCGAGGGAGCAGCTGCGTGGGGCTTAGTTGCCGGCTAGGGTTAAACCACAACAATGACATAACCCAGACGAACAAGAGAAAAAAGTTCACAATTCCCATCATGTGTATTTAATACTCAGGTGCTAATCTACCACTTAGCATTTGCACACAGGAGACGTGCTGCTTACCACACTAGCCACTACATCTGTAATGAGGCTAGTGATTCTCAGCATATTAAAGCATACTAACTCAGGAGCCAAAGGCATAAGGCTTCAAGCAGAGGCCCGCTGGAAGGAAAAACCAAGAAGGCTGTTTGGCTGAACCTTCTATTAAAAGAATTTTATTGTCTAGTTGAGTCATAAAACTCATGAATCACCTGCAGTGAAATTCACTGTGTAATTATTTGGGAAGCTCTCTCTTTCCCCCTGTGGCTTTTCCCCCTTTCTTGCTCTGTTTTGCTCTCCCTATCTGGTGCCCCTTTCCTCTTCTATGCCATGGGGATTGGGTCAGGGCAGCTTGTCCCACCTCCTTTCTACAGGCAGCCCACTACGAAAATACTATTGCAGGTTGCTGGTCTTTTTTCGTTATATACCACTCTGTGATCTGGAATGCATATCTATGGGGAATATGCCAGGGATAAGGAGAATTACACACGACGACATTTAAATGAAGCTCCCACTTCTCTGTCAGGCTCAATGACCAACTCTGCTGGGTTCTTTATATGAAATTTCCAATTGTCTTAGCTCCCAACATTTAGAAATGAGGTATTTCTCTTGTTCTTTCAATTTCTGGTGCTTATTATAAAAGCAAGATTCTAGGAAAAGATTGCAGGCTGAGCTTCTACCTCTCTGTAAATCAATTAGCTGAGTTATAAATGAATAACTTACTTCCATCAATTTGACAGCAACAGCCCATCTGATTAAATGAAATCTAACTGAGGATGTTCATATGCTCATCTCAGAGAATTAAAGCATATGATGATATAGATAAGATAAATAAAGGAAATAATGTGTTGTTCTTTCCATTAGAGCAGTGATAACATATATTCAAAAATTGGATTATTTCTTCCTTGTTACACACAAGGCTAATGCCATAGAAACCAGATCCTATTCTTACAGCTGCCTGCTCTCCTAAGCAGCTGAAGAAAGCCACGTATCAGCATAAAGGCTGAATTTTGACCTCTTCTGTGGGCACCCAGAACTTTAAAGAATGACTGCATCAAATCCCTTTACATAAAGAAATAAATTTCAACATTTTCCTGCAGTTCATCGCTGGAGCTTAGCATGTATCATGACACACAGGGTTTCTGTAAGCCTTGCAGAAAACTGCAGTTTTTTACAGATACGTTAGAAAAAAAAACTGCTACCCAATATTTGATGCGTACATTTTCTCTTGGACACGCACCTATGCAAACTGGCATACTCAGAGCAAATTGCTCAGCTGCTATAAAGGCAAACCCAAGAGTTTTCTTTCCCTGTAATAAGCCTCTTGTTGCAGCCTGCCGGGTGCCGTTGTTCCTACCTGTCTGCAAAAGCGGTGCAGGCTGGTCACTAATAAACCCTTTTCTGTTTATCTTGGACTGATCCTAAAAACTGCAAATCTGAGGAATTCTAGGGTGACCAAATAAACACCCCAAATTAGGCAACAGTGGAAGAAATAAGTGCTCAAGCCTCACCCCCCAAGCCGCAGAAGGCAAAGGCGGGGACTGGGAGAATGAAGAACCACCCACTGTAGGAGAAGATCAGGTTCGAGACCATCTAGGGAACCTGAAGGTGCACAAGTCCATGG